AGCAAACATCCTCCCAGCGACACCATGGTGGCCAGGGCTGGGAGAGATAACAACATATGAATCTCTTCATCACTCCGTGCCTCAGTCGCTGCACTCAAAATAAGCCAGGTCCTTTACACTGGCAAATTTACTCGTGTATGCCTTAAAAAAAAGATCAAAAGAGATTTGCCACAAAACTATACATGATAACAAACTCAGAAAACCAGGGCCAAGGGTAAAAAGGATCAAGCATATATACTAACAGTAAGGGTTACCGCAGTTGCTGCGAGCATAAATGACTCATAAATGACATGACTGAGCATAAAATTTGGTTCTTAACTTCCTCAAAGCCAGAACAAAAGAGGAAATAGCTCTTACTATAAAAGTTTCCTTCTATTGATTCCCTACCACTTCTAAGGCACAGGAACAATTTAAGCACTGTGAGCAATAAGACTGATTTCATGTATTTAAATGACTGATTCCTCAATTAAGAAAGATACCATATTCTGACAACAAAGTCTTACTGACTTTGTCGAAAACAAAGAGCTAGGTTCGTAGCTACTTCCTTATTTTTCTGGCAGTTAACAACTCCCAAATCGGACAGATAGATACTAATGCTCTTTTCTCCACAAAGAACTATGGGAAAATAAACTCAAATCTGAGATTATTAATTTCAACAAACTACAGAAAATTACTTTAGGTTGCAAATTAATCACTGAACTTGACTGAGGCATTAAGCATGGATAGTGCTAATGTCACCAGTTAGATGAAGGTGGCTATTTGAAAACTACCACAAAGACATCAAGTACAAGACTATCTCACTTACGAGCAGACAACAAGTCTCAAGAAGGCAGTAAAAAGAAAAAAAAAAAAATCACACAAATTCACTGTTTTTATTAATATTACATTTTCAAAGATGGAAAACAAAAGTATTTTTGAAGCAATTACTAGAAATGCATATGTTTGAACGACTAAGATACATCTTAGACTGTCTGTAAAGAACAAATGAAGATATACCTACTACAGACAACTGCCACAGTTGAATAGGAGGCAGTTTAGCTTTGGTAGGAAGAGCAGAGGTAACCTGAGTTCTTAAATCAATGGATAAGTGACAACTTCTCTAGACTTTAATTTACCAGACCTATAACATTAGGGTGTCAAATTAAGATATCTCTGAGATCTCTCAAATCTCACTCTATTCAGGTCTCTGCTCATGTCACCTTACCAGAGGCCTTCCCTGGCCACCTCTCAAAGCAGCATCCCCGCATTACTGTTTATTCTAAGGCACTTAGCACCAGGCCTATTATATACAGATTTTTCCCCCACCAGAACACAGGCTCCACTGGAGGAACTCAGCCAGTTGTGCTATATTCCCAGGGTCTAGAACACTGAGGAGCATCTAGCAGGCACACAGATAGCTTTTCAGTGAAAACAGATCCATTCTAGCTCTATAGTTTGAAATATTACGTTCAGTGAAGCATTCTTGCAAATATGTAAATATAAAATTCTAGGAAGAGTTATTTAAGAATATAATTTTCAACAAACAAGCTTAAGGGTGTAGGACTTTATCACTAATATTAGTAAGAAATTATACTAATATGCTAATATTACTGAGGAGATAACACACAAATGGGCAGGAGGCCAGGTCAAAATCCCGGCTCTACCCTTTACTGTGTAACCTTTCCTAACTTCTCCCTGCCTCAGTTTCACCTTAGGTAAAATGGGGATAAAACAGTACCTACTTCAGTGTCAAGAGGATTAAATAAGAATGAACATAGTGTTTACAAGTATAAACCGAGGGAGAGATTTGAGGAAAAACTTCTGTCCATTATTTCTTCCCATAATTCCAAAATAAAAACAGGACAAAGGTAACAAGGAGAGGAAGGAAAATTTATTTTTATTTGAAAAATATGTACATTACAGTGTTCATTTTTTTAAATGAGTAGATTTATTTTCACCACAGGAAAACAGAGAGACGACCAGAAGTTCGTGGTTATCCTTGCTTTTCAAATAAAAAGTGAAGTGTAAAAGTGTGCTGGAGAAGAAAAAGTTGAAGGTGGGTGGGGAACAGCAAAGCTCAGGCTGAGACCTATCGGCACCAGGGACCATCCATGCTTGTCGCCTCTGCGACCAGACCTGGGGTAGGGGTGGGCTGCTCAGCCCACGGAGCATGAGGCTGCTCCCTGGGCCCTGGACTCCATTTGATGGTGGTCCACACAACGCAGCCAGCCACTGACAGCGCGCTATTCAGACCCATGGGCTCCCACCAGCAGCTGTCTGTGGCCCTACAACCGCTAGGGGTTCTGTCTTAAGAGAACACACATACGGCTCATCAGGTGTGCAGATTTAGTCCCAAGCAGGCATCAGCTCAGCCATTTGAATCCTACAGCTGTGGGAAGGCTTCTGAAAAGTGTCTGTACTGCTATCTGTCCTCCGTATAGGAACTGGCTTGATACGACAGGCTTGTGGCTGGATAGACCAGCAAGTGACGACGACATGATTAATAGTTGGCGAGTTCCAGTCTGTTTGATTGTGAAGACCTTATCAGTTATGGATCCTGGCACTTATCTAGACCCTTACGTTGTTCAAATAGGGGCTCTGGATACAGAACATGAGCCCCTCAAGCTACAATATAGTTGGTTGTAAATCTTGAATTTGTTCCTATATCTGTTTTTCTTAAGACAGAGAGGGACTGGGGCAGGTTTTACGGGGTCCAGCTTCTATCTACTTTTCCAGGATAAGGAAGGAGAAAAGGGAGACATTTGGGGAGTCTCTACCACAAAAGAGATGGCTTTTGTCACAAACTGCAGCCAGTAAAGCTAAGGGAAACAGCTGGAGCCCCACGAAGCATAAGCAGGGGACTCTGGGAATTATTTATTGGGGCTGACAGCAGTAGCAGCCAAGCCACTTCAGCACCTGTCAGCAGCTACTGAGACATTCATGTCAGCCCAGGGCAGAGTGTCTGAAAGACTCATGCCACTCTTTTGCAACAGCACATTTTTAATTCCAAACTAAATAAGTACTACATGGGGAGATAAAAAGAAAACTGAAATATTTAAATAAATTATGCTTAAAGCCTCAGAATACAGTGTTCACGCTCTGAAGCAGAGTACATTAGATAATGGTCTCCACACGTGAGGGAATGGGGGCATGGACAGGAAGAGTCCTCCAAATGCCTAGTTTATGAAAACCTACATTTACCACTATCTGAGGGAAAAGCACAATACAAGTCAGAGTTGGCCCATGAGGGCTCTTAAACACTGGCATAAGCCTGAGGCCACAGAGTGAAATGAGCCCCCTACATCAATACTACCAATCAATTTCATATATAAAGTGATTACCTTCCACTGCCTAGAATCTGGGTCTCTGTTAGCCAGTGAGCACCGCGTGACTATAGGAGGGAAGGGGAAATGAAGATTTACACAATACGTACTATATGCTAGTAAATACTACAGATGTGTTTTCCTATCTATAACCACTTAGTGCTTAAGACAAGTCTTTGTCAGGGGTCTTACCACCTGGGCTCCTCCCTTTACAGCTGTGGGCCCTCAAGAAAGTGATGATTTCACTGTGCCTCCATTTCCTCATCTGAGAAAAGGAGCTACCATCCAATGAGGGAGTTCCTGGTGTTCTGACAGCCTAAGAGAATAGGCTAATCAACCTAAAGCTCTTACAACAGCACCTGGCATACAGCAAGCACTCCATATGTTACTTTTCATTTTCCTCACAGTACCCTGACGAAGAAAATAAAATCTTGTAATTAGGTAATAGTGTTTTCAATTTACAGAGGAGGCAATTTTGCAAAGACAAGCAATTAACTCGCTCAGAGTCACAGAAAGTGACAGAGGTAAAAGCTATTCTTTTTCCACTATGCAATGCTGGCCATACTCTTTATGCTGCTACCCGCCAAGGCATACTACAAAATACAGAAAGTCACATATCCCTCATTGAGTGAGAGTTCCTCAAGTGGTCAGATTGTGCTAAAAGGAAATCAGAGTGTGCTAATCTTGACATCTCATCTCAACCAAAAAATACTTATTGTCTTCCCAGGCACACAATGTCAAACTGCTGTCAGGCACTGAAAGCAACAAGCCAGCTCCTAGTGAGTTAGGCAGACCTAGACCTTTCAAAAATAAGCCTTAAGGGAACTCACACAGGGGAAGAGGAAAGGGGAAGGAAAGAGGAGGAGACTGAAGGGTGAAAAGACCCACTAGAGAACTTCGAAACAAAAAACATACACATGTATTCTGCCCCTGAGGCATCTGCCATGACTTCTTAAACTGAGGCCCATAGCACCCAATTTTAATGAATGAGCTGGCCTAGTTCCAACACACACACAGCTCTGACATACAGAGGCTAGTGGCCTGCAGGGCCCTTTTTACCCTCTGGGAGACACCTGACAGATCACAGGTCAATCTTAAACAACTGGAAGCAGGATGTGAAGGGGAGGATAAAATGGGCTTGCTCTTTTGTTCCCTTCTTTCTTCCAGGGATCGAATTTTTAGAGGCTGTGTTTAATACAAGACATCAACTCGAGAGATCAGGAAACCTGATTTCCACGCCTAAGATGGGCCGGGAATCCCTCTTCTGGGCGCGGGCTTCGCCGGTGGGCCTGGCCTGCCTTGGTCCGTCGGTCTTCCTTCGCTCCAACGGCAACCGGGGGGCCAGAGCGGGAACCGGGTCTGCCCTGGCCACCTGCCATCTCCTCCTCCACCCTTTCAACAGTTGCTAGGACTCCGGAGAGGCCGCCCTGGCCGGGAGAACATGTTGTCAGCTCTTTATTCACTGCTCTGCCCCAGGCGGCTATGGGAGGAGGGCGCGCAGCGGCGTGGGTGTGAGCGGCGGGAAGCGGCCCCTGCGTGACACCTCGCGGAGCCGGCTCCCGCAAGAGCATACGCCGCGGCCGGTGGGGACGAGGCCCGGGCGGCCCGCACATCGGGCCCGGGGCCTGCAGCCCCCACAGCCCCGCCAGCCCCGCGGCCCAGGACTACCCGGACGCCCACCCGCCGCCGCCCACTCACCGCCACACTCGGCCGAGTACTGGTCCCCCCAGTCCCCGGACTGCGGGCTGCAGCCGCCGCCCGCCGGGGCCTCCTGCTGTTGCCGGTGCTGCAGCTCCTGCTTGAGCAGAGACAGCGGCGAGTAGTGCTCGGTGGCAAGGGCGCCCAGGCGCGGCCCGGCGGACAGGACCCCCAGCAACAGCAGCACCAAGACACGCCGGGCGGCACCCGCGGCGGCCACAGCGCCGCCCCAGCAGCCGCAGCCGCTGCAACTGCCGGCAGGTGCCATCTTCCCTCAAGGCGCATGTGCGGCAGCCCTCGCCGCGGGCTGCGGCCTCCCAGCCTTAACCCGCGGCGGGCAGGTGGGCCGTGGCAAGGGGGTAAAGAAGGGGAGTGACATTGCCTGATGGGAATTGTAGTCCCAGCTCGGCCAGCCTCGGGCCCCGTTTCCGGTACCAGGACTACGAATCCCAGCAAGCATCGCGCTGCGCAGGTTTTCCGGTCTGGCGTCTGACGTCTTCCCCGCCACTGAATCGGAAGTTCTAGGCTGCGGTTGCGTGGAAATGGGCACTGGTGGGCGGAGTGGGGTACGGCGGGGCAAGGGGAACGCAGAAGGGGTGACAGCCGGCAAGGGGAACGCGGATGGGGTGGCAACGAGTCCTACTGCTACTGCTGCTTCGGCCTCCTGCCAGTACAGGTGCATCGAATGCAACCAAGAGGCCAAGGAGTTGTACCGAGACTATAACCACGGCGTGCTGAAGATAACCATCTGCGTGAGTTGTCAGGTGTGGGGTGTCCTTGGGAAGAAAATGACGCGGCGAGATTTGGGGACCTCTATTGAGAGACAATAGAATCTGTATCAGCTTTTTAGGGTGATAAAAATCAACGAGTTTCAGTGTCTTCTAATACAGTCTTCAGTTCCATGCTTGATATTCCCATCGGAGGTCAGTCGAGCCTTTGCGTGAATACCTATAGCGGTAGAGAACTCACTACCCTACAGCGCTTTTCTCATACCAGTCACGTTTGCTGGTGAGACCTAACTGGGTGAACGGATCCTCGGGCGGAGATGGATGTAGGCGTTGTGCAGAGAAATTTAAAGATCGGATTAGGTTGACATCTGGGTTCACGCCAAAGCTATTTCATTCTTAGTTATTCTCCCTTTGATAGACAAATGTTACCATCCTTACACTCCATAACCCGTATTAAATTCTCCTAGAATACTTTTTTCAGGTTTCATCCGTTGTGGTTATTAATGTACAGAATTGTGCACAAAACACTATGCTAGATGTTGATGATACAAAAATCAAAAATCAGGAAGTAAAAATTCTGCTTTCAAGGTGTTGGTAGGCTATTTATAAAGAATGATCTTATGTTTAAAAAGTCACAAAATTGGAGGTTCTTTTAGGTGCATTAGCAAAGAACCTGTCACATAATAGGCAGTCAATATGTTTTTGTCCCATTTCTGATCTCCTGATGTTTTTCTCATAATAATCCTCATTAGAAAAACATGGCCTGTAGTAATACACAAGAGAGTAGACAAAGTGTCAATGTGTACCTATTTAATCTATTATCAACCATTATAATCACTTTGGTGTATGCACCCTTGATTTCATGTTCCTCTCTTAAATGGTTTCCCTCACTTGGCAAAATTTCAGCCATTGTTAAATCCGACATATTGCCTCATCTGTCCCTACACCCTTGCAGTTGTACATTACTGGGGAAAAAAACACCTTAAGTTCCTGACCACTAACCTCACGTAGGCCCTTGATGCCATCTGACCATGTTATGTTTCACTAGTTCCCACTTTCTGAACAATCATCACATACCTTCTCTCCTCAAGTTTCTCATATATCCTCTCCTGCTTCAGTAAGAAAACAGAGGAGAACTTTCAGGAACTTTGCAATCACATAAGCTCATTCTGACTCATGGCTTTAAATACCATCTAAATGTTGGCAATTCCCAAATGTGTACCTCCAGCCTGAACCTCGCCCTTAAACTCCAGATTCAAATATCTAACTACCTGGTTGACTTCTCCACTTGAATTTCAATAGTCACCTCAAACTTTCACAGTTAATGGCAACTCTACCATTTTAGTTCCTAGGACTGAAAAACCTTGAAGTCATCCTTGATTCCTCTCTTTCTCTCACATCCTTATTCCGTTGCTTGGCAAATCCTGTTAGCTCTATCTTCAAATTATGTTCAGAATCCACAACTTCTCACCACCCCTACTGCTACAACCATGGTCCAGGCCACCATCATGTGTCACCTGGACTATTATCATAACTCAACTGGTCTCCCTGTGTCACCCTTGCACCTCTTCAGTATCTACACACAGCAGCTGGATTGCTCCCTTTAAAATGTAAGTCAGGGGCCAGCCCAGTGGCATAGTGGTTAAGTTTGTGTACTCCCATTCGGCAGCCTGGGGTTTGCAGGTTCAAATCCTGGGCACAGACTGACATAACTGCTCATCAAACCATGCTGTGGCGGTGTCCCACAAACAAAATAGAGGAAGATGGGCACGGATGTTAGCTCAGAGCCAATCTTCCTCACCAAA